GCCCCATGGCATGCTTTCTGTCTAGTTTTATTCTGTAATAATCCTGTTTGTCTTAAAAGCCAATCTGAGATCCCTGAGGAAAGAGAGCTGGGCTTGCAGTCAGGAGACCTAAGTGGAATGATCTTGGGTGAACCCTTCAATGTGATGCCTCAGCTTCCATTTGCCGAGCAAATGAGGACAATTCACCATGGGGCTACTAAGAATGAGCTTGATGAACTATGAAGCACTAGGCAAAGGTAAAGAATCCTTTCTGTCTCTAAAGCCTGTAACACCATGCTCCTAATAAATAACCGTGGAGCTGATCTCATCACTGGGACAAAATCAGATCCAAAGGGTAAAGTACAAATTTAATTTGTTGGTAGAGTTTAAAATCGCTATAATATTTAAAAGAGGAAAATTCTGATCTGTAATGGAACATACTTTCACATGTAAATCATTTGCTGCTTCTCATATGATTCAATTTTATAATAAATCAACTGGTTTTCAGTCTGGTAGAAACTAAGAATGTTTAAAATCCTAACATCTAAAAAAACCCAGCAAATAACCAATTTCTCAAACTGAGGAAATCAGAAAGCATAGTTATTGAAAACATGATTTTCTTTTGCTACACTCCTTCAAAATGTTTTTAACAAGCCAATCTAGAATTCGCTTACAGCAGAATTATACAATCTGGGTTCTTAAGGTTTAATTAAACCAAGCTATGAAGATCTTAATAAGCCTTTCTACCATGAACAAAGGGAAGACAAAGTCTTCAGAAATTATAGTCACTTAGTCAATACTGGACACAAGGTAACAAAAATGGAAACTAGTAGAGAGACTCGTCTGAGTTTCTTTAAATTCTGACCAATATCCTAAACCAAACCAAATGGAATAAATTCATTCTAAATATTAATAAATGTTTCATGGTTAAAATTAAATGAGTTGAATTTTAGCTCTCTTTTCATGTCATGGTACCTCAACTGGCTGCACAGAAGCAGACATATGGCCCAGAAACATGTCTATCTACATGCATGTGCACTATGTGTTTATGTATACACACACATACATGTATATACATTAATAGAGGTAAAAATTTTTTTGAATTCTGAGTCTTCAAGGGAAACCCAAATTAAACCTTTATCCAAATAAAGGCTGGGTCCTCTGTGGATATTTCCACAGCGCTAGAGTTCACTTCTGTTGATGGCATCACTGCTTTGATCTTCCAAGGGGCCACGTAGGCTGGATGAAGCAGCCTCTACCTTCAGAAGAACTGGTATTGGAATTTTCAAGTAGTTTGACCAAAAATTCCAAAAACAATACAAAGCAAACAACCCCACAAGCAAAATTATTTTCATTGTCCAAGAAGATCATAAGATTCCATAACCATATGAGATGATTAACAGGCTCTGTAAGTTAAAAATATTAGCTATTTAAAAGACAAGAAATGGGCAAAGTATATTTTAAGTGCTGTTTTTTAAATATTCACAATTTTGTGATGGCTTGTATTAAATTTTTTTAATTGGCATATTTGAGAATGTAACTTAAAATTAGTATTATAAAATAGTAAAAAGAGGAAATAAAGGGATAGTTACCTGTTTAATTCTACAGCAAACTTATCAATTAAAACTGAGTAAACTGGTTCTGGTTATGCTTTAGGTAAAACAAATTTTGTAACTATTTCCCCGAAGTGTCAGTGTCTCCCCAACAGAAGCTGTATTTGAGAAAGTATTACATATTTCCGTTTCCTCAACAGTTCTTTCTTAAATCTGGAAAAAAGGGGAGTTTGAGGAACAAAATGTAGCATATTCACATACACGGCCCTTTCTAAGTCAAGCCCCTTGCTTGCTCAGCTGCAAAGAAAGGAAGGGGCTGCCGGTTCAAAGCAGACAAGCCTAACCCTGCCTCGTTACTTCTGAGGGTCTCCTTTAGATGCGCGGCAGAAGACAGAAGCTGGCCTGAAGCTGGCTCCAAGTCGGGGTGCAAGCCCTGCTAGGACGAGGACATGGGTGTCTTCTTCACCTTGATACTTACTAAGGAGTAAAGATCATCCAACTCCAGGTTAGACCTGCAGGGTTATATGGGTTCACCCCCACATGCATAAACAGCTACTAGGTAAACAGTCATAGGAACTCAACTGCCACTGGTCCTTTTTCCTTCAACTGTCCAAAGAACAGAAGGTTTAATGAGGACACACAATAGTAGCAAGACACCTCCAGGACCTCATCTCCTATGACATGCCCCTCTGCTCCCGCCCCACCAGTCCTTTTCCTTCCTCAGGACCTTTACACTTACTGTCTCCACCTCCTAGAGTACTTTCTCCAAATTCCCCAGGGCTGGGTCACATCACACAGGCTTCACTTTAGGTTTCTGTTCAAATGCCATTTCCTCAGAGACTATAAAATTGTTACACCCTACCTCTGTGCCCTAAAGCTATCATATCACACTGTTTTTCTCTGTAGCATTTATTATCTGAGATTACCTTGTATTATTCATTTCCTAGAGTTGCTATAACAAATTATTACAAACTTGGTGGCTTAATACAACATAATTTATTCTCACAGTTCTGGAGACTAGAGACCCCAACTCAAGGCAGCAGGGCTGTGCCCTGTCTGGAGGCTCGTGGAGAGATGCCCTCCTTGCCTTTTCCTAGCTCCTGGTGGACCCAGGCCTTCCCTGCCTGGGGCTACATCACTCCCATCTCTGCCTTTGTCTTCTACCCTGCATCGCTGTGTCCTCTCCTCTTCTTATAAAGACTTCAATCACTGGATTTAGGACCCACCCTCAATCCAGGATGATTTCACCCTGAGATCCTTAACAAATGACATCTGTAAACACCCTCCTCCCAAATGAGGCCACATTCTGAGGTTCCAGGTGGACTGGACACTACTCATGCCCCTACACCTGTTTTCTTGTTCAGTGTCTATCTCCATGTTGTAACTCGTAAAAACAGAGGCTTTCCTTTGTTCATCACTATATTTCCAGCTCAGAGAGTGCCTGGCGCAGAGCAGGCACAAGATAAACATTTGTTATTGAATGAATGGGGATGCGAAGATAAATTAGACACAGCTCCTCCACCGAGTTTACAGCTTGGAGATGAACAAAGCATGATGAGCACCAGATTGGAACTTGACCCAGCTTGTGTGTTTTCAATTCCAATCCATGATGGAGGGCATATATAGTACCTGCTACAATGATGAGCTGGAAAACAGGCTATTTGTAGGAGAGCAGCAAGTCTTCATCAGCACAAAAGTATTTCCTGCTTGAGCACCATTTGCATGAGGCATAAATTTCGATAGACGGTGCACACACCCTCTAGTGGCCATGAGAATACTTAACTCACTGTGTTTCTACTCCATGAAAATTGTATTATTTCCACACTAAAGTTAACTCACACCCATACAATTTAAAACTACTTACATTTCTATAAAACTATGAATTGACAGAAACAGAATCTACTTATTTGTTCAACATTCAAAGTAGACTTTTGCTAACAAACAATAGGATAATAGCAGGTGCCAGGCATTCCACCAGGTTTTTCTCCAAATGTTCAGGTTTTCTGTCACCAGGCAATTTACTTAATGCCCTATTTCCCCCTCGAAAAGATTCCCAAGCCTTTTCCCACCTCACTTAAATTCAAAACAATTTCGTTTGCCAAAAATGCTAAGAATAAATGAATGAATGCATACTAAATCACTAGTCTTAAATGGATAAACAAGGAAATTCATGAAAACATTTGGAAAATATTTTGGTTGCAGATACCAGAATTATAAATGCTAAAATTGTTTGGTGTACTAATAATACACTATTATAATACCAAACAAAAATACTGAAGCAGTCTAATATCCAGTAATGGAAGGATGATTACGTATTTTTGGCTCATCTCCTAGGGGAAAGATGATATGGTATGGCCGTCAGTCTGATCACTCACTGGACAAAGAGTGACTGAGCCCCTGCTACGTGCCAGACAGTGAAGAAAGAACACAGGACTGAAGACACATGGCCCCTGCCCTCCAAAATCTCCAAGTCTGGGGGAGAAGACAGACATTAAACAAGCAATTTCGTAACTACATACGTAAGTACAAACTATGTTAAGTTCTATGAAAGAAAACAGGTTACCCAACTGAGACTGGGGGAGAGACCATGGAAGTGATAGTTAAGCTGAAGGATGAATATGGGTCTGATAGGTGAGGGTGGGGAGGAACAGGGCACATTTCAGGCAGTAGTGGCACATTCAAAGACCTAACTAAGGAAGAAGGGATGCAAGTGGTCCCAGTTAAGTGCCCACCGGTCTAGTCCCGGGAGGGGAAGGGGCCTGAACCAGAGTAGGAAAAAAGGGGATGCACACAGGTAAACAGATGAGAGTAAAGCCAACAAAATTGACAGGAGGCCATGACTGATATAGAGAAAGAACATGGAGCACATGAAAAAGTGGGCAGGATATGACATTTAATTTCAAAAGTAGGACCTCAAATAATATAATGATTCAGTGAAGTAAAAAAAAAAACAACAACAACAAAAGTGGACTTGAGACTAGTGAACCCGGCAGTACACTTAGGCTGTAACACAGCATGATTTTCATACTTGGAGAAATACTTCTTGAGGGAAATGTACTCCTAAATTATGGTTCATCCAACTGACATATAACCACTAAAAGCTTTGGCCAAAACTTCTAACTTGTACTCGAAAGGTTTTTCCAAAAAAAAAAAGGCAGTATTTTGGAAACCTCTGAATTTGAAAAAGCATTCTAAAATGAATTATGAGCACACAGAATAAGCTAGCCAGACAACAAAACTTCCTTCTGTAATCTTCAAATATCCTCTCCAGCTCAAGAACTCGAATGCTATCATCATTTTAGTGAATGACTCCACATTACCCTTTTATATATAATCTTCAATTGGGATCTTCTTTGAAGGGCATTTTTTTTTTTAGCTTCCTAAGATTTTAGTATTCGCTTCTTATAACACACACAAAAAAACAGAATGACATAATAAATTTTAAAGTGCAAAATATATAATTGCAGACACCATATGGGCAAGCTACATTTTTAAAAAGCTAAACATTTAAGAGACCAGATTTGAAACAATAGAGTATTCACTGTTTGCCAATGGAACACAAAACAATGGAATTACTTATAGAAATAGAGGAAAAAGAATCAATATAATCATAGAGATAACATGCAAAAGGTAACAGTACACATGCACTGCATGTGTATCAATGTCTTTAATACGAATCATTTTTACCTTTCTTTAATGAATGTAACGCTGAAGTGAAGAAGGTCAAATAACCAGGAGGCTGGGGTGAGCCGCTGAACTCAAAGTACCCGAGGACTCCAGGCTGCAGCAACAAGAGCAGAATTAGGTGACTGGCGTGTCACCCACCAGTCACTGTGTAAAGGGGCATACTTTAAAACAAGAAGATACGCCATTATAACTTGACAACTGCAATTTGTGTCATTTCATTTTTAAAAAAGCCTAACCACATGAAAAGCTGCAGGTTAGGGCTGCTCTCTCCCCTCCATTTAGCCAACACACAGGGATGATGACGCAGCAGCTTTCACAGAGTCAATTCACAGCCCAAACTTCCTTCCCTCTCCCTAACTAGGTCTTTCCACCCTCTGCTGACAGTTCTCCTTGTTTGAAACCTCATCACCAGGTTCAAATACTTTTTTTACCCACACCAGGAAAGCTAGGTCAATAATTTCTTTGGAACGTTACTTCAATTTTTTTCCTTTCACCTCCTCTCCATCCAAACACACCTTCACACTATGGAAATCACTCAGCTTAAATCTGATTGGCTCCACTTGTGTTCAAGGTCACCCTTCAAAGGACACTTTCCTCTCCAGAACTCAGCAGCATCCCACAATGGCAGCCCCCCTTTTATGAAGTCCAGAGAGCCTCTTGCTCTTCTACTCCCACAACTTTATTTCCACCTGCTCATTTCGTTTCTCTAAATTTAGCAAAGAATGCCCCTCTACTCCACCAAACCTATTACTGTCCCCTATCAGATACAGTCTTCCTGTTCAGAGTAAGTCCTTCCTTCTTTGAAGGCCCCATGGCATGCTTTCTGTCTAGTTTTATTCTGTAATAATCCTGTTTGTCTTAAAAGCCAATCTGAGATCCCTGAGGAAAGAGAGCTGGGCTTGCAGTCAGGAGACCTAAGTGGAATGATCTTGGGTGAACCCTTCAATGTGATGCCTCAGCTTCCATTTGCCGAGCAAATGAGGACAATTCACCATGGGGCTACTAAGAATGAGCTTGATGAACTATGAAGCACTAGGCAAAGGTAAAGAATCCTTTCTGTCTCTAAAGCCTGTAACACCATGCTCCTAATAAATAACCGTGGAGCTGATCTCATCACTGGGACAAAATCAGATCCAAAGGGTAAAGTACAAATTTAATTTGTTGGTAGAGTTTAAAATCGCTATAATATTTAAAAGAGGAAAATTCTGATCTGTAATGGAACATACTTTCACATGTAAATCATTTGCTGCTTCTCATATGATTCAATTTTATAATAAATCAACTGGTTTTCAGTCTGGTAGAAACTAAGAATGTTTAAAATCCTAACATCTAAAAAAACCCAGCAAATAACCAATTTCTCAAACTGAGGAAATCAGAAAGCATAGTTATTGAAAACATGATTTTCTTTTGCTACACTCCTTCAAAATGTTTTTAACAAGCCAATCTAGAATTCGCTTACAGCAGAATTATACAATCTGGGTTCTTAAGGTTTAATTAAACCAAGCTATGAAGATCTTAATAAGCCTTTCTACCATGAACAAAGGGAAGACAAAGTCTTCAGAAATTATAGTCACTTAGTCAATACTGGACACAAGGTAACAAAAATGGAAACTAGTAGAGAGACTCGTCTGAGTTTCTTTAAATTCTGACCAATATCCTAAACCAAACCAAATGGAATAAATTCATTCTAAATATTAATAAATGTTTCATGGTTAAAATTAAATGAGTTGAATTTTAGCTCTCTTTTCATGTCATGGTACCTCAACTGGCTGCACAGAAGCAGACATATGGCCCAGAAACATGTCTATCTACATGCATGTGCACTATGTGTTTATGTATACACACACATACATGTATATACATTAATAGAGGTAAAAATTTTTTTGAATTCTGAGTCTTCAAGGGAAACCCAAATTAAACCTTTATCCAAATAAAGGCTGGGTCCTCTGTGGATATTTCCACAGCGCTAGAGTTCACTTCTGTTGATGGCATCACTGCTTTGATCTTCCAAGGGGCCACGTAGGCTGGATGAAGCAGCCTCTACCTTCAGAAGAACTGGTATTGGAATTTTCAAGTAGTTTGACCAAAAATTCCAAAAACAATACAAAGCAAACAACCCCACAAGCAAAATTATTTTCATTGTCCAAGAAGATCATAAGATTCCATAACCATATGAGATGATTAACAGGCTCTGTAAGTTAAAAATATTAGCTATTTAAAAGACAAGAAATGGGCAAAGTATATTTTAAGTGCTGTTTTTTAAATATTCACAATTTTGTGATGGCTTGTATTAAATTTTTTTAATTGGCATATTTGAGAATGTAACTTAAAATTAGTATTATAAAATAGTAAAAAGAGGAAATAAAGGGATAGTTACCTGTTTAATTCTACAGCAAACTTATCAATTAAAACTGAGTAAACTGGTTCTGGTTATGCTTTAGGTAAAACAAATTTTGTAACTATTTCCCCGAAGTGTCAGTGTCTCCCCAACAGAAGCTGTATTTGAGAAAGTATTACATATTTCCGTTTCCTCAACAGTTCTTTCTTAAATCTGGAAAAAAGGGGAGTTTGAGGAACAAAATGTAGCATATTCACATACACGGCCCTTTCTAAGTCAAGCCCCTTGCTTGCTCAGCTGCAAAGAAAGGAAGGGGCTGCCGGTTCAAAGCAGACAAGCCTAACCCTGCCTCGTTACTTCTGAGGGTCTCCTTTAGATGCGCGGCAGAAGACAGAAGCTGGCCTGAAGCTGGCTCCAAGTCGGGGTGCAAGCCCTGCTAGGACGAGGACATGGGTGTCTTCTTCACCTTGATACTTACTAAGGAGTAAAGATCATCCAACTCCAGGTTAGACCTGCAGGGTTATATGGGTTCACCCCCACATGCATAAACAGCTACTAGGTAAACAGTCATAGGAACTCAACTGCCACTGGTCCTTTTTCCTTCAACTGTCCAAAGAACAGAAGGTTTAATGAGGACACACAATAGTAGCAAGACACCTCCAGGACCTCATCTCCTATGACATGCCCCTCTGCTCCCGCCCCACCAGTCCTTTTCCTTCCTCAGGACCTTTACACTTACTGTCTCCACCTCCTAGAGTACTTTCTCCAAATTCCCCAGGGCTGGGTCACATCACACAGGCTTCACTTTAGGTTTCTGTTCAAATGCCATTTCCTCAGAGACTATAAAATTGTTACACCCTACCTCTGTGCCCTAAAGCTATCATATCACACTGTTTTTCTCTGTAGCATTTATTATCTGAGATTACCTTGTATTATTCATTTCCTAGAGTTGCTATAACAAATTATTACAAACTTGGTGGCTTAATACAACATAATTTATTCTCACAGTTCTGGAGACTAGAGACCCCAACTCAAGGCAGCAGGGCTGTGCCCTGTCTGGAGGCTCGTGGAGAGATGCCCTCCTTGCCTTTTCCTAGCTCCTGGTGGACCCAGGCCTTCCCTGCCTGGGGCTACATCACTCCCATCTCTGCCTTTGTCTTCTACCCTGCATCGCTGTGTCCTCTCCTCTTCTTATAAAGACTTCAATCACTGGATTTAGGACCCACCCTCAATCCAGGATGATTTCACCCTGAGATCCTTAACAAATGACATCTGTAAACACCCTCCTCCCAAATGAGGCCACATTCTGAGGTTCCAGGTGGACTGGACACTACTCATGCCCCTACACCTGTTTTCTTGTTCAGTGTCTATCTCCATGTTGTAACTCGTAAAAACAGAGGCTTTCCTTTGTTCATCACTATATTTCCAGCTCAGAGAGTGCCTGGCGCAGAGCAGGCACAAGATAAACATTTGTTATTGAATGAATGGGGATGCGAAGATAAATTAGACACAGCTCCTCCACCGAGTTTACAGCTTGGAGATGAACAAAGCATGATGAGCACCAGATTGGAACTTGACCCAGCTTGTGTGTTTTCAATTCCAATCCATGATGGAGGGCATATATAGTACCTGCTACAATGATGAGCTGGAAAACAGGCTATTTGTAGGAGAGCAGCAAGTCTTCATCAGCACAAAAGTATTTCCTGCTTGAGCACCATTTGCATGAGGCATAAATTTCGATAGACGGTGCACACACCCTCTAGTGGCCATGAGAATACTTAACTCACTGTGTTTCTACTCCATGAAAATTGTATTATTTCCACACTAAAGTTAACTCACACCCATACAATTTAAAACTACTTACATTTCTATAAAACTATGAATTGACAGAAACAGAATCTACTTATTTGTTCAACATTCAAAGTAGACTTTTGCTAACAAACAATAGGATAATAGCAGGTGCCAGGCATTCCACCAGGTTTTTCTCCAAATGTTCAGGTTTTCTGTCACCAGGCAATTTACCTAATGCCCTATTTCCCCCTCGAAAAGATTCCCAAGCCTTTTCCCACCTCACTTAAATTCAAAACAATTTCGTTTGCCAAAAATGCTAAGAATAAATGAATGAATGCATACTAAATCACTAGTCTTAAATGGATAAACAAGGAAATTCATGAAAACATTTGGAAAATATTTTGGTTGCAGATACCAGAATTATAAATGCTACTGTTGCATTTGGTGGGTAGATAGATACCAAGGTACAAATTAAATGATTCTGTCATGTGCTTTAAAAAATAAAAAAGAAAGCATAAGCATACTGAAGTAACAATTACTGTTACCTAAACCTAAATAAATACTGAAATTAGAAGAGCCATGAAACATGATTGTATGACGGTCATTACCATTACTCAGCCCTATTACCTTTCCTATTCAACTTAATGTGCATCCACCAAACTAAAAATGACACTAAGACATGTTGTCCACAAGGAATAAACCACATTTTCTTATAAGAACCCTCAAGGAACAGGGATTCTAAACTGGATAAATGAAGCAAGTAGAACATATTAAATGATTTGCAATGAGATGACTTAGAGCTCTTGATCTCCCTCTCCATTGACAAATTCACTTCAGTTTTTAGCTACATTCATTACTTTTTTTTATTATGGTATGTTGATATACACTCTTATCAAGGTTTCACATGAAAAAAAAATGTGGTTACTACATTTACCCATATTATCAAGTCCCCACCCACACCTCAA